GGCGGGGCCTCGGGGGAGGTGGGCCGCCAAGCCGCCGGGGCTGCTGGCCGCCTTGCGTGGGCTGAAACCTGCTCTGCCCACGCCCCCCCCTCGCGTGGGATGTCCTCCCGCGGTGGGTTCCCCAAATCACTCCCTTTTCTTTAACTGCAGCCTCAAAACTTCGGGGTTGTCTGCATGAAGTCACACAGGGGGACGCGTAGATATAATGATACTGCTGTTTATTTCAGGGAGAACCGACAGACCCAAACCCCAAGGTTTGGATGTAAGATGCTACATATGTAGCTAATTTATGAAATTGCGTGACCTGGTTATCCTAACCTATTCCCTCCTGGTGCGCTAGCCCCATTTGTTGGAGCTCTTCCATTACAAGCTATTCCCGTTTGAACGTTGCCAGCCTCCTCGTAATCTTTGTAGCCTTTGTAGCCTTCTCTCACGCGAGCCTCTCTCGTGCAGCGCGGGACGTGTCAGCCGTGATCCTGGCGTCCCGCTCTGTGATACTCCCCTTCGCTCATGAAAACCCAGGCATGGCCCCGGCGAGAGCGCGCGCAGCGATACCTGCTGCCTCTGAAAAGCCCTGCCAGCATCCTGCCTTTCCTTTAGGTTTCTTTGCTTAAAGGTGTGGGACTTTTCTGCTGCAAACAATTTGCTGGAAACGCAATCCGTCTCCTCATTAGGGTTAACATATCTCGTTTCCACTCCTAAGCTTCCTTTTTTTTTTTTTTCCTGTTCGCGTTAAATTGTTGTGACAGAACCCCGCTGCATGTGAGCTGTCCAAGGCTGTGTGGAAAACAGCTCTGCTCGCCTTATCTCCCAAGCTGTGGGAAGGAAGACGAAAGGTACAACAACTTTGGAAAACAAGCACAGGACGCTTGAGGGCAGGACGGCTTCAAAATGCAAACCAAAAGCAGATTCATAAGCTGAACTCCAGAAATCTTGGATTTCTTTGTGAAGCATTTTGAGACTTGTGGCTCTTGAAAAGTGTATTAAAATAAACAGTGGATTAAACTAAACAAAACCATGTAATTCTATCTGAGGTGGCTCCAAAGTCGAACAAATACAGCCTCTTTTGGCACCTACAGGATAATGACCAGTTGTGGTTAGTGATCTGATCATACTCCTCACGAAAGTAGACTGGATAGCCCTGAAGTCTGGGCTAAAATTGAATTTAGCTAATTATATACTGCTTGTTATGTTCCCTCCATTTTTAGTTCGGAAAGTATTTGGTATCATTTTCACTAGTTGTTTCTTAGACTAATGTCTGATGTCAAATCATAGCTGTATTTTACAGCACAGGTAGTTGTTTTTTAGTGGGAGGAGAATTAATAACATTTGTTTGTTAGCAGCATGGTAAATCAAACCTCTCCGTCCTAACAGTGAGGTATGACAGACAGTAGCAAAGCTAATGTTAGTGTTGCTTAGCGCTTTCTATTTCAGTTTCAGTTGTTCGTAACTGCCAGTTTGAGCTGAAATTTCCCCTGTTAGTTGTCTGCTTCCAATCTAGTTTAGCTTGTTTTGTTTGTTTATATTATGATTTATTTGCTTTGTTTTTGGAAAGTTCCATTTAAAACAGTCAAGCTAGCTACAAGGATGAATTTAGGGGAAAATACAGGGTTTTATCCATCATGAATGTCTATAACGGTTTCACTGAACGTTTTGTAGCATCTCTCTGCTTCAGAAAAGCATCTTTCAAATTTGGCAAGTGAATTGCTTTGGATTCAGGGATGTATTTTTGCTATCTTTATGAAAATGTGACCTAAAAAGAAAACGGGTTAAAAATGCCACGTGGAATAGTACAGCCCAGTCCCCAAGAAGTTCCATGCATATTGCATGTGTCACCTTTTTGTAGGCCCTTCTTTAGTCATGTCTGAATGCGCTATACCCTCCCCAGAGACAAGCTGTGCTTCTGCCTTGTGTTGCAAATGTTCTGCATAAAATGCGGAGCCTTTGAGGGGCTTGGGCTGAAATGTAACCCAGCCCATCTCCCTTCTGTTAAACATTTTTGCTCGAGGTACCTGTTGTTAGAGTGGGTGCTGGCAGAAAGAATCACACAAAGATCTGTCTCCTGTTATAAACTGTTTATAGTATTTTCTGGTTTTTCTTCATTCACACTAAAGAATATTTGTAAGCTTTAATAGGATTTAATGCTAACTGCCGTCCAAGCGCACAATGTGATACCAGAAGTGATTTGTAGAAATGGCAGACTGCCTCTAAAACAGCAGAGAGGAGAAAAGGTCCTGAGTGGAAGAAGGAGCAGCTGAACACGCTAAGACAGCTGCAGTCCTAGAGTATTTTTATGCAAAAAATTGTTCTCTTCATCCAGTGGGACAACTGAAAGGGAAGATGAGCAAAATATAGCTTTAAAAAGGCACGTTCAGAGGCTTCAGGTTTGTTTAATAATCTGCAGTTAACCAAGAAGTCAGCTGTCACAGTCCATCACAGAAAGGTGAATGTCAGAATGAATTTCTCTAAGCTATCATCTATATAAGAAACCTGTAAGAGGGACAGTAATGTTAAAATAATAAAACGGCATTTTAAAAGGCTGAGGAGGGTGATCTAGAGCCTCACTGGCCTGTGTTAATGGGGCTTTACCCTTCAGTCCTGAAGTGTCACTTTCGGGAAAGTTTAACAGGAAACCTTAGTACCAGAACCATCTCTGACAATAAAATAAAATGGTAAAAAGTAGAGATATTATTCTTATAATAACCATGAAAAAATCTTGCAGAACGTATACATTAATAAACAGCCACATAAACTAAAGTCTTTTCTATGAACTAAACATGTATGAACATGAGCTAAAGCCTGCAGAAAGGAGCAAGCAAAGGAAGAACAGATGGGTGCTTGGGCACTGATTTCACAGGAGATGGTGCTCTAATTTAACAGCTCACTGCTGCCAGAAGGGCCATCTTGCTTCCAGTTCTGCCTTCCAGTCCCTTATTTTGCACAGCAACTGATGCTTGTTGCTCCTTCTCCCACAACCCACAACAGCCGATTCAAAGCAGTAGCCCAGCAGAAGCCTAACCAGGTAGAAAAATACATAGTTTTCCACTAGTTAGTGAGTTCAGTCAGCTCATATGAGAGTCCAACAAGCGTCAGGGCCAGCACAAGGGAAGAACTGTGAGCCTAGGGAGAGCATGTGTGGAGGTCAGTGAAAAAGAGTGAGACAACCCTAAGCTATGTATTTTCTGACTTCTGAGTGAACTTTGCCTGCAAGGAAGCATTATGCTATGGCACTGAGTGAACTTCTTGGTAAGTTCAATGAAATGCAGCTCAGAGTTAGAGTTGTTCAATGGTATCTCTGGAATCTTCCTGATGCAGAGTCTAACAGACTAAAATTTCTGGAAGCTAGGAAACACTGAAGTGAGGTACATGCGCACAGAAACCTGACTCTGGGTCCTGGGAGCTGACAATAGCCAGTGGGATTTTACTGTGAGCGCTCCAGTGACACATTAGGTTCTAGCTGTATTTAATGTCGCAGGGATTAATGAAAGAAGATGAATGTGATTGTGATATGCACCAATCATGATCAAAATCTGCCCACCAAGCATGACCAAAAGGATTTAGTTGAGTTTGTGCATTCTAAAGCAGTTCAGGAAGTCACAATGAAACCCCAAGGGACTTCAGAAGCATTTGAAGTGACTTGTTTGTTGTCTGTAGTGTGGTGTTTTCAGCTGATTGAAAACAACTGAGGAACATGAAAGGTTCCTGAGAGAGAGAAGGGATATTTTTTTTTTTTAGTGGATATTTTCAGACCCTTCCCTCGTATTTGTGGTTGTATGACAGAAATCAGTTCTGTCATACCTCTGACCACTATGGGCTTGCTACAGAGAGGCCTCTTTTCAGCTTCATGCACCGACAGGCGGAGTTTTCCAAACAACAGCTCATCTAAGGACAGAGGGACAGGTTCATTTGCCCTCTTCAGATTGTAGCAGAGGCACAGAGGCATAACTAAAACTCGTATCTGGCTCAAGCAAGATCTCTTGAGCTGAAAATACTTTGGAGTTAGGAAAGTTTTAGAATGAAAGTTCATGTAGGTTGTCCTGTCCTTACTCTTTCCTAGACATCAGTTTCTGGCCACTATTCTTACCATTTCTCTCCTATCCATGGCCATTATCTTGATCCTTGAGCAGGATCTTGAGCTGAATGGACCTTTGGTCTGGTCCAGTATGGGCAATCCTAGGGCCTTATGGACAGGAAGAAAGATGGACTCCCCTTTCCAAATCATAAACATCCTTCAGGTCATTCTCGTACCAAGAAGGACAGGTAAATGAAATACTACCTCCCTCTCAGAGGGAACAGGTCTGCCAGGTCCTGGCTCATACAGGGTGCACAGAGCGGCTCAAGTTGCGGTTTCACA